AATGAATGTTTGTGGCTTACCCTCCTTGTGAAGGGTGTCAATGATTGTCTTCTGGACAACTGTCAGATCAGCAATTTTCCCCATGATTGTGTAGCCTAGTGAACCAAACTGAGAGACCATTTTGAAGGCTCAGGAAGCCTTTGCAGTTGTTTTGAGTTGATTAGCTGATTGGCATGTCACCATATTCTAATTTGAGATAGTGAATTGGTGGGTTTTTGTTAAATGTGAGCCAAAATCATCACAATTAAAAGAACCAAAGACTTAAACTACTTCATTCTGTGTGCATTGAATTTATTTAAAACATGAGTTTCACAATTTGAGTTGAATTACTGAAATAAATGAACTTTTCCACGACATTCTAATTTATTGAGATGCACCTGTATGTAAAATGATTTATTTGAAAACAACGGAAATTTTCTGTAAATCTATGTCAGTGACGGAAGCTTCCGGGTAAGCGGATTCTCCGCAGCTTTGGCACCTCCGCTCTGTTGCTGTGATTCGTCAGGATTGTAGCACGTTCTCTGTGTTTTGCTGGTATGTGCGTGATTTCATGCACGAGGTAAGCTGTCCGCGAAGCACTCGCCCAAGCGGAAAAATTCGCTAGCTGTTGCTGCCAGATCTTGATTGCCAAAAATTACATTGTGTTTGATGCAAAACTAACTCAACTAAATCATATGAAGAAAAAAAACATAACTGAATGTTTTCATGCTTGCTCAAGCAAAGCAAATTTTAAAAGTCTACTAAAAACATACCTGGTCATAGACAATGTTGAAGATGTTATTGTCAACGTGCCTAAGTGGTAAATAAAATTTTAAAAAGTTTATAAAAAATTTACATAAAATTGTAAATAATAACAAACATCAGGGAAAAAAATAGGAAACAATACCTTTGTTTTCCGTATACTTGTCGCTAACCGTTAAAGTCCTTCTCTGATTTTATTGTTGTTTGCAACGTTACTTGCCAATATTTTAAAGATAAAATTTTTGTATTATTATTATTGGATCATTGGAGTAGTGTCACCCGGGTGAGAGTTTTAACTCCTATTCACTGGGAATAAAAATAAAAGAATAAATAAATAAAATGTAAAAGAAATTCAGTCGATGCAGAGACATATAGAGCGGGGGAATCCCCCATCTCCCTGAATATTACGTATCATAACGTAACTTACGCAGTTAACCAACGCAGTTACGTTTGGGATCATTTTATTTTAAATGTCAATAATGTTAATTGCAAACATTGTGATTGTTTTAAAAAAACAACAATGAGCACCATGAAACCATTTAAAGAGGCGCGTTCAGCGGTCTCTGTGACGGGATATGAAAATATATATGTGTACCTATATATATATATATGTATGTATATATATGTATATATGTGTGTGTATATATGTATATATACAGATGTATATATATGTGTGTGTATATATGTATATATACAGATGTATATATATGTGTATATATACAGATGTATATCTACATATGTATACGTATACAGTGTATATATATATATATATTATTTTATTTTATTTTTTTCAGTGTTTCCCACAGACTTGCACTCTATTTGTTGCGGCATATACAGTATATGCAAATTCATCCGCTCACAAACGCTGCTTTATCAGGCATTACATTCAAGATGAAATGAAAATGTCATCCAAAATTTTTCCTTCAGAAATACAGTGATATAAGTGACAGTCAATTTTGAAATGTGTGCATGCTCATGTTTATTCAACGAAGTCTAAGCCTTTTAGAAAATCTATTTGTGGCGGTCAGTTTTGATATTGTGACGGCCCGCCACAAATAAATCAATGTATGGGAAACACTGTATATTTATATATTTTAGGGGTGTAACGATACACGTATTTGTATTGAACTGTTCGGTACGAGGCTTTCGGTTTGGTACGCATTACAAGCCGAATGATTCGTTGGAGTAATCCTATTACATCTGGAAAATAAAAGAGCTTAAAGTGTGTGAAATATTATGTTCTCAGTCCCAATGTGCTCAACAAGGCAGCCCAAACGACATAACAGGCAACGTGATGTCTGCCCTCTGGGGCTGCACGATAAATCAAAATGAAATCGAAATCACGATTAGACAGAAGCTGCAATTGTCATGCGTATCTTTCAGTGAAGCACGGTTCTGTGATCAGTAGTAAATCTCCATCCGAATGCCAGAGGGCGCGCTCATGCAGAAACTCCAAATATGCCCCGCAGAAGAAACCAAGGAAATCTCTATAGCGGTTCCTGAATAAACAGAAAATGTAAATGCTTTCATTGATTCAACGTGACTAATAAACACACGACTATGACAATATATGGTTTATCTGAGGAGTTATTATAATTTTCATTATAATGAAGTATATCTATAATGCAGTGCTAATCCACATGGACTTTATCACTGCTTAGAATATATTAAATATGTCGCATGCCTTATTCCGTGTAAGAAGCCACATCATCTCACTGAAGGATTTATTTCAAACACTCGACTGACATTATGAAGTGAGTTTGGAGTAAAACCATGTTATTAAATGTGGTATTTTCACATGCTTTCAGATGGAGCAGCATTTACAGCCGTAGTTCAAAGAGAAGCTACACAAACAGCTGTCATTATTCCGAACAATTTTTTAGATTTCATAATGGTATGGTTATATCGTCTGCGAATATATATATATATATATTTTTTTTTTTTTTTTTGCATAGCTTGTCAGAGAATTACGGCTCTGTGTAATAAATGCTGCTTTAATATGTTCCTGTGGCTCAGTGGTAGAGCATTGCGTTAACAGCACAAAAGGTTGTGGGTTCAATTCCCAGGGATCTCACATACTGG